ACACGTAATTTAGGACACCGTATACTGACCCCACTAGCAGTGAGGTGGGCCTGTGGAGCGCACCTCAGTGGTGATTCGAGGTTTCGAGATGCATGTTAGTGGTGGCACCAAGCCAACGGCCCACAGGGTGCGCTAAGCCTGCACCTACATTGCCTCTGTCACCCAGTAAAGCAGACAGGTGCCCTCACTCACTGATAAGAAGGCCCAGAAAAGCTAAACCACCTGCCAAGCGATTAACACACACCCCACCCCGTGCCAGTCCTGGCTGCCCACCAAGTCCCCTACCCTCCAACCTCACAGGACCCTGAGAAGCACAGGGATCCCTCCGTCGCCTAGTTCGGGATGCGGGTGGGGAAGGGCCGCAGCCTCACAGGGTGGTGGTCCTGGGTCCCAAAGCCCCCAGAGATGGGCTGGTCTGGGCTCCGGCCGGATGGCCAAGTCAGATCTGCTCCCCAACTTGGAGAGTGACCACTTGGCTTCTCGGAATGTCACTCGGATGAGATGCCAAGGCCCCTGCATCTAACCTTGAGACCCCTGGGTGGGGCTGGGGTGACACCAGGATGGTGGCAGAGCAGAAGGACGGATGAGGACGCATCCCTGAGGACAGAAAGGAGCCCCGGACAAACCCCAGGCACCCCGGACTCCAGACCTACGGCTGCCAGTGACCTGCCCCCAGAGCCACCGCACTCCCCGGGGACCCCCTCCACCGCACTCTGCACCAGCCCGCCCACAGCAGCCAAGCCAAAAGCAGCTGCAGCCGCGTGCAGAGTGGACCTCAGGGGCCAGGCCACTTGGTTTGGGACCAGGGTCTCTAATTAACCAGGTTCATGGTAGGGAGAGGTGTCTAACCAGGAAGCCAGTTAGCTGGTGCGTCCAGAGTCCACCTTTCAAGGTCACCCCAACTCCAGTGCCCCTGAGTGATGGGTCTCGGAGCTCAGCTTCCCATGTGCTAACCAGCTGCCTCTCTGAGCTGCGGTCGGGAAGCGAGGAGACACACTTACACCGCCCGGCCCGCCCTGCACACAGCAGACGCTCCATCAACAGTCACGCGTCCCACCGCCCTTCTGAAAACACGTCCCAAAGGACCTGCCATGACTCATCTGTCACAAAGGCCGGCGTCTGCCCCGGCGTCACAGTGACCATGGTCACCACTGTCTGCTGTCCCGGGAGCTGCCTGGCTTCCGTGAGGCCTCCAGGCCTCCTCTCTGGAGTCCCCGTTAAACCCCAGACCAAGCCACAGCCGCCCACCCCCACGACGCAGTCATGTCCTAACCCTAACCCTGCACCGGACGGCCAGGGCGTCCACCCTACGGAGGGCTGCCGCCTGGCCAGCCACTGCCCAGGCCATCACTCCTGCCCAGGGAGTCTGGATTCCCAAGCGTGTTGATGCAAGTGTGCTTACATACTTACATATAAACATAAACGCTAATTAAATAGTATGCAAACCAAAGAAATCTAAGTGCACAAGAAGTCACTCCTTGGAAAACCAAGGTGACTGCTTAGGAAAAGCTCAGCAAAGAGAGACAGCTTTAAAACTGTCACGTCAGCAGG